CTGTGCCAGACTCATCAAGCCTGACCAACACGCCACAAATGGTATCGTACACGTGGTTGACCGCGTCATCACAGCCATCTCTAATAATGTGAACACGCTCATCGAGGTGGACGAGGACCTAGAGACACTGCACGTGAGTTCCTCTCAGTTCATGCAAATTCAGGGAAATGTCACTCACTAACTTCCTGCGCTGCTCTGTGCTCAGACCGCCCTGGTGGCTGCAGGTATGAGTGTCATGATGGAGAACGAGGGTCAGTACACTGTCTTTGCTCCAACAAATGAAGCATTTGAGAAGATTCCTCCAGAGACGCTGAACCGTATCCTGGGAGACCCTGTGGCTCTAAGAGGTGAGCAGCAGGTTCTTGCTTTTTTTTAAATAACAATGCAATAATGTGTCACCACCAACAATTCCAAATCCCCTCCCTCAGATATGCTGAACTACCACATCCTGAAGCAAATGCGTTGTGCTGAGTCCATCATATCAGGCACACCTATGGAGACACTTCAGGGAACAGTGCTCGAGGTCGGCTGTGATGGAAATCACATGACCGTGAATGGCAAGGCCATCATCACTAGGACAGACCAGCTGGGTACCAATGGTGTCGTCCACTACATCAATGAGCTGCTCATCCCAGACTCAGGTTTGACTTGAACTGATACTGCAAGTACTGCATGTTCTACTGCTGCCAATACTGTGTATTCACAGAAAAACACTCTAATCTGTGACTTTCTTTTTTATAATAACATGACGGACAGTGTGTAAACATTGATACCACAGTAGAACACCAACTGTTCATGCTGATTTGTTGTGATGTCACCCCAATGTTACCCTGACAGCTAAAACACTCCTGGAGCTAGCTGAAGGTTCCTCTGTTAGCACCGCAACCAGGCTGTTTGTTGAGGCAGGTCTTGGTCCACAGCTGTCTGGCTCCGAGGCTCTGACCCTGCTGACCCCACTCAACGACGCATTCAAAGGTACCAGCAGCTTTGATCCGTGCAGCAGGACAAATCCTTATGTTAGGCCGACTCCAGAAGTTACACGTTGTCTTTATGTCCACAGGCAGCGTGACAATGTCTTCTGGAATGAAAAAGCTTATGACCAACCACGTATTGAAGACTCGCCTGTCCTCTCAGTCCCTCTATCACGGCCAAGAGCTGGAGACACTTGGAGGTCTGAAGTTGAGAGTCTTCGTCTACAGAAATGTACGAACACGCCTCTTTTCTCGAGTGGCCTAGCCTTCTTGGCTGTCCACTGACTTCTGTCTTAATGCTGTCTGCTCTTCTTTTGTCCGTTCCTTTTTGTTGTCCACCAAACGCATTGATCTTACTGTTGTCCATTTATCAGTCTTTCCTCTTTGCTGACCACTGGCAGCAAACTCTAGTAAATGGGATTACGTAAGTGACCTGGACCATACTGAAAAGAGGATTCAGTGTCTCCACATGTTTCATGTCCAGGACATGTGGGTGGTTCATACTTCTGCACAGTAATGAGTCCTGCAGACATTTCCTGTTACCACAATGACTTCACTTTTCCAGAAACTGCATTTGTGTTCTTCTTTGTGAGAACCTTTGTTACTTGATGAAGTCACCTCACTCACCTGTGTGAGATGGTGGAAGTGCTTTACAGTTTCTGACAGAATTCAAAACAAGCTTCATTAATATCTTTAATGAATGTGTCTTCTTTCTCCTCCCCATCTAATCTAGAACCTGTGCATAGAGAACGCCTGCATTGCAGCTCATGATAAGACAGGGCGTTTTGCCACTTTGTTCACCGTGGACAAAGTCCTCACGCCACCAATGGGGACCGTCATGGATGTCCTGAAGGCCGATGATCGCTTTAGGTGAAAACCCAAATAAAATCTGATTTAAATCTGTGTTTTTGCAGTGTATGCGAAGTACAAGCCCAGTGAATATTAAAACAGTAGGGTATGATTATCCACAGTCATAAACCAAGGTTACCATGTGGTAAAAATAGAGATGTGAGCTTTGAGACTCGCAGAGTGAACAGAACAGCGTGGGAACCGGTTTTGCTGTAGCTGAACTGATTGCTTAAACAGTGACTCCATCATTAATTCTCCTGTGGTGCATCTGTGGCTCACTAAGCGGGGGTCACCAATCGCCAGCTGTAATTTTATTGTTATAGCAGTGAATCATGTCAGCAATGGATCCGTCAGAGCTCCTCTGTTCTCTTCATACATCAAAAGGTTTATTTATCAGAAAGTAGGACGACCGCAAACCAAAGAAAATTACATTTTACTGCAGGTTAAATGTGTTTCTTACATCTCAGTTTCGTACTGCTACCACTAAAACGTTACAAGCTTTGATGTAGAAATGCCTTGACAGTTGGACCATTACTAGTGTTCTGCAGGTGTAGGGTGATTACATCAACGATTAGCATATGCCTCAAGAACCTCCTGCTGACACTAAGAGACCATGACTTGGGTGAAAGTACACATAGAATGAACCTCACCATCACTTCTCCAGGACAAACTCCCAAAGATCATTCTAGATGAGAGTTGGAAGTTTTGGAACTACAGCTAACTGCTGTTACTACTTTACAGCTGCCACATTCTATTTATAGGAAGCGTAATTCCTTCACACACGCAACAATTAATTCAACAATACAGTTGCCATGTCATGAAATCCTAGCAACGTGATTTGCTCTTGTGTAAAACAGATGTTTTTGCTCTTGTGTTTGTGGTCACAGCTTCTACGCCTCTGTTCAACAAAGGCTCAACATTTAAACTTAGATCATTTG